AAAAATCAATAAAATATATTTAAAAAATAAAAATAAAAAGATGACACATAGATGGTGACAGGGAAAGGGGCTGCTGAGTCTTCCCTCTACTTATCTTCTCCACTGGCCACTGTTTAGTATCTCCTAGTAGTTCTCACTTTGTCCAAATGTAGGTTGGCCCATATTTTACTGTGACTATTTGGAAGACTTATATCTTAAAAATTTGACCAAGCGTAAAAATACACCTTTTCACGCAAAAGTCATATCTGAACGTCTGGGACCAATATAAATTGACATTATACCTCATCAGATGCTTTCTTACAATATGGAGTGTTAACGCATAGTCTGACATCTGCAACCACTGAATTTTCGTTGTCACATCAAAACTGCCTTGTAACAGGCAGTGGGAAGTTTAATTCTCAGGAAGAACTCTGTTCTTAGTAATAAGGCAATGTTAAAATTTCTGGTAAAACAGATGGGAAAAGGCATTGTAGAAGTTTCTGTGACCAGATTCCTGATAGAGTTTTCTACTTTCATTCATTTACCCCAAAATATTTATGTGCTAGAATCTAGGGGTTTGAAAGCAAACAACTGTCTCTGCCTTCATGGAACTTAGATTAAGGGGAGGGTCAGAGGGTTCTCACCTCCTATGGAATTTTCACTATATATCTTACAATATTTTAAGAAATACCAAAAACCTGGTAGGGAAATGTGCTTCTTCTGAAGCCTCAGTTTTATCATCTGAAAAATAGTGATATTACCTACTTCACAGGTTTGTTTCAAGATTTTGGAACGATGAATACAAAATCTGACAAACTCTATGTGATCAATATATTAGCTATAGTAAAAACTTGCTTCATGTTTGGGTAGAGGTTGGACCTATCCATTTAATAGTTTAATAAGGATTGGTCAGAAATGTCCCAAAAAGATTAAAGAGGTTATATACAAAATAAGTTCAAGAGAGGCCACTCAGAATCAGGGCTTGCAGCTCTTTACAACTCTACTATGTGACTAATGCATCCGAGTGCATTTACCCATATTTAACTTTAAAGCTATGATGTACAGAACTGTATTTTAAAAATTCCCCAGGTAAAAATTATTATAGTTGTGCTTTATGGCGCTATAAGGCTTTTATTACCAATTTAGCAGCCCTAGAACCATTTTTAAAAATTAAAAAATTGGCCCATCGTTGGGTCTTCCTTCAGCTCACCCCTCTGCCAAGATTAGGATGGCCCATTAATAATCCAGCATATTTATTTAGTTGGATTCCTAAGTTTCACAAGAGAACTATATCCTTCTCCTGTGGCTGATGAAACAAATTATTTGGATCTATCAAATTCATTAAGGCACATCCTTACTTATGGCCCTTCATTTTCAAATTATACTTCAAGTAGGTGGCTGATATGGTATAGAATGTAAGCAACTGAAAAATTTATGATTAGGGTTTTATATCTGGTCTTGTGTCCCCTAATATTAAAAAAACAACGTATAAAACCAATTGCTTACTGAAGCCAAGTCAAGTTAATAAACCCTATTAAAGTATGTCTGTTGTCCTATCAGAACGACTAATTGAAGGATCAGCCATCCATTCTTCTAAAGCATAAAAAATCATGCCTCCTTAAGTAACAGCTCTTATGCCTCTGTAGTTTCATAATAAATAAACACAAACCTAAAGGTATTAGTTTTCCTAAAACTTTTAATAATGTTGTGCTTTTTCAAACTAAAAATGTTATCCTTGGAGAGCTGTTTTATTATTTCAACGGGGAATGCTGGCTATTCTCAACGTTACCGTTGTAGTAGAATGATCAGAGCTGTGTGCTTGACCACATTACCTTGGTCCCTTGTAGAACAGCTTTTACTGAATTGTGCTTTAGCATTATGCTCTTGGTTTCCACAGGGAGATCAATTTAACCACTCCTCAGCTCTCATCACATGGGGGGGAAACCAGCCCTATGGTGAAAAAAGCTAACTCAATGTTGTCTCAGTGGTAGTGACGAATTAGTTAGATCACTTAAATTCAGTTCTGAAAAGAATGCATCATTGACAACATTGAATAAGGTTAACTCAGGCAACTGAAGCAAACAATTTTTTTAATAAGGATAACAAATTGCCAAGATTAAAAACAAAAAAAGCTAGCCTTTGACTTTACCTGCTAATGCTTCTGCTGTATCCTGAAATTTCTCAAAATGTTTTAGCTTAACTCTAGAAGAAAGAAAAAAATGTCATGCAGGCACACTGATTTCTGTAAAAGCCACATATTCAGGAAAGGGTGTCGGACTGTTTCCAAAGCATGCACTGATAAAAGAAACGTTCCTGCCAAAGGGTACCAGGGTGCAAAGTTAGATATTCTTCACAAAATGACCGGTTCCTCTAAATGTTAGGCTAGTAATGTTTGGACTATTATAGAGAAGGTTGTAGGCTTTGAAGGAATCAACAGCAAAGAGGTTGGCTACCACATCTAAACCACAGGAAAGATGCTAAAGCTTCAACATCACCTCCGTTGCTTAAAGCTAGACTCAGATGCCTAAGAAAAGGCATGCGAGTCCGTCTTAGGCCAGGAATCTTAGGACACTAACTTGTCATTCCAGTAAAAATACCATTAAACAACAGCTTATTGTCAGACCTGATTTCTGTCAACCTTATTTTAATTTTACTCCCTTCTTTCTCCCACACTTATGTGCAGAGTAACATCATTTCATATGGAAACAAATACATTTAATCCATTGCTGTCTCAGTGGTAGTGACGAATATTTGAGTGAGATCACTTAGATTCAGTTCCAACAAGAATACATCATTGACAACAATGAATCAAGTTAACCCAGCCAATTAAAGCATATATCCCTTTAAAAAGAGAAAATTAGCCCTAGCCAGTTTGGCTCAGTGGACAGAGCATCAGTCTGGGGACAGAAGGGTCCCAGGTTCAATTCCGGTCAAGGGCATATGTCCGGGTTGTGGGCTCAATCCCCAGTAGGGGGCATGCAGGAGGCTGCCAATAAATGATTCTCATCATTGATGTTTCTATCTCTCTCCTCCTCGCCCTTCCTCTCTGAAATCAATAAAAATATATTTTAGGGAGGGAGGGAGGGAGAAATAGAGAGAGAGAGAGAGAGAGAGAGAGAGAGAGAGAGAGAGAGAGAGGGAGAGAGAGAATATGAATGGGAATGAATCAGTCTTCTATTGTGTCTAAAATATTATCTTAAGCAAGCTTTTCTTACCTGGTCAGAAACACCCTGTTGGCCCCTTAAACACACACCCAACAATACAAAGATTTACGGAAAAAGTAGTAATTTAATCTGTCCTACCTCACTCACCCCTATTTGCACCCTTCTGCAGTGGCATTTGCTCATACCTCTCTGTATTTGCATAAATGCATATATAGATGCACAAGAACATGGCAAAAATGGGATCACATTATACAAAATTTGAATTATGGTTTTCTCAGTATATCATGGGCCACTCTCTAGATATGTAAGAGATCTATAGATATACAAAAATTTATTCAACAATTACAGTACCAATGAGCATTATTTCAAATTTTGGGTTTTTGCCACTACAAATGCTAGAACTATGTATTTGTTTCTCTATTTCAGCAGTTTTCAACCTGTGGGTCGTGACCCCTTTGGCGGTCGAACAACCCTTTCACAGGGGTCACACCTAAGACCATCCTGCATATCAGATATTTATATGACGATTCATAACAGTAGCAACATTACAATTATGAAGTAGCAACGAAAATAATTTTATGGTTGGGTCACAACATGAGGAACTGTATTTAAAGGGCTAGAAGGTTGAGAACCACTGAACTATTTAGTATGACATTTCTTTGGGTTCAACACTCTTTATCTTTAGCAAGGTTTAATAGTTTTTTTCTATTCTTGTGAGTTTTTATTAGCACTAGCAGGTGAATTATGAAACGACATAACCGAAATCCACATGTATCAAGATATCAGTCAGGTCCTTCCTAGGACCACATCCACTAAATGGGTTATTTCAAAAGGTGATTCACAGAGGGTGGGAGCCATCATGACTACCTCGAGGAAAAGCCAGCTCTCTTTACCACTCATTCCTTAAGCTGGCATCAACATTACTCTCTATTTTCTACTCCAGAGACCGTGGGGAACTCAGGTAAACCTTTCCAGGATGTCCTACCTAGTTATTACTCCAGTGGGAGCTAGGAAGTAGAAGTCATAAAGAATGAATAAACTTCAAATTAAGTTAAAAAACACTGGAATAACACTAACTTAGAGAAACTAAAAGTTAAATCCATGCTTTTTGACAAATATTACTTTTAACAGAAATTTATACTTAATTCACAATCAGTTCATGCTTTGAAAGAACTTACGAAAAAGTACTTTTATTAGTCTGAAACTAATAAAAACTAGTAGAGATAGCTTATGCTCCAAATAAGGAAATCTAATAATTAGGCTCATACCAGTATCATTCCTGAAATACATTTTAAAAGTTATGAATATAACAATTATGTGAACGGAGGGGAGGGGTGTGTAAAAAGAACTCCTACAAATGTGAAATGCTACATTCTTATTTTCAAGGTGACTTACATTTTATTTGCTTTCTCTGGAGTTTCAAATTCTTTCCACAAACTATCAACCTCTTGAAGTTTCTTCTCATTCAAAACCTGTAATAAATATTTAAATAATTCTTTAAAAAAGCACAGCTTAGCCCTAGCCAGTTGCTCAGTTGTTAGAGCGTCGGCCCTCAGACTGAAGGGTCCCGAGTTAGATTCCAGTAAAGGGCACATACCACCCCCACCCCCAATATCAATCACTGCTTCTGTCTCTCTCCCTCCCTTCCACATTCTCTAAAAATCAATGGAAAAAATATCCTTGGGTGAGAATTTACGATAGATAAATAAAAGCAGAGCTTAGGCACCCACATACACCTACACACTTCAAGTACAACTGCACATGTGAAATGAGGATGGTGTAAGTTACTTTTTTCCTCTGAAATAATGAACCAGTTTTCTCACCCAGTATAAAATTTTCAAATTAGTAGCTCAAGTAGCACATTTAATAACTGGATGGAATCCAGATCTAGTGGTGGTGGTGGGGGGAATGTCTTTGCTGAAAACTTTCTATTTTTAAGGACACCTTAACTCCTTCAAAAAGCCTATCGTATTCATACTTTCTTTAGAATACTTTTAATATGCCATTATTTTATACTGCCAATTAAACTGACCTGCTGTCAACTGTAAGACATCTTAATGTCAAGGATGTTAAATTAAATAGGGGGGGAAATGCATCTTAAGATTGATCCTACCCTATCTTGTACTTGAGCAGTTAACTTATCACAGAGTACTGGTCAGGGTGTAGAGAAATAACTTGTATTCACTCTTGATTTAAGTGAAACTAAGAGGATTTCTTGAAGGCAATTTTGTAGCATCTATCAACATAAACCATGCATATCTTATATGATCAATTAACTGCTTTCTATAGAATACATTTTATTATTCATTGCTAATCATCTTAACAGAAGTATTACGGATTTCTCTAAAACTAAGATGCCATCAATTATAAGACACATCCCGACATTGGAAATTTTAAAATGCAAAGAAAAAAAAAAAGGGCACTTTAAATCTAAGAATCAGTTATTGACATTTAGGGATATATTCTTTAAGACTTTTTGACTGGGTGACATTTTATTTGTGCATACCGCACACTTAGCATACCGTGCATGTAATCTTAGGTTTTAACAACCTAGAATTGCTGTGTATGAATATACCACCATTTATACTTTTATTGAGAAATATTTAGGTTATTGCTAAACTTTCCTTATCCTTCAGAAAACGTTGTTGCATATATACACGTTGCATTTCTATAGAACAAGCTCCTGGAAGTGGAGCTCAGGAGAATGGCCTCAATTTACCTCTTTCTTCCTAACATTTCAATAGCCTCCCAAGATACGAACGCCCCACTCACTGCTCAATAATTTCTATGCTGATGAAGCCTTAACTTCAAACTTTACCTACTAAAACACCCTAATCTCACCTTGATCATCATCAACCCAGATTTCTCCCCTAGGTCGGCTTCAAATTTGAAATGACGGTTGCATTTCCACGTCTAATAAACATCGCAAGCTTCCTGCAGCCAACCCCTAACTCTTCAGCCCCCCCCCCAAAACTCAACCACCTGTTTCCCTTCCCTATCATCGCGCACCCACTTACTGACACCAAAACCCCGCTCAACCCATCAGCCAATCCCGTCAGTTCTACCCTTAAAATTCCCCCGAAGACCATCTTCCTACCAACCTCAATCAAAGCATCTTTATCTTGTCTGCTTTGATGCAAAACCACCCTGGCTCCCTTGCCTGCAGCCCTGCAATCCGGCCAGACAGCACAGGGAATCTATTCCTCTCGTGGGAACTTCTCAGCCGTTCTTCGAAACACTCGGGATAAAGCCCCAACTCCCTCATAACCTCTAAAACTCTAACATGGCTTCTGTTCAGCTCTCTCCAACCCGGCCAAACCCTCTCACCCAGAACCCTGCACCCCACAGAGCGAGGCCACGTGTTCGCCGGAACACGCGCCTCCCGCGCCCAAAGCCTGGCCCTTCCTTCCAGAGCAGGGAGCATACAAGGCACCCTGCAACCCTGAGCAGGGTCACCCGCTCCGGGAGTCTTTCCTCCTCCCGCCGGCCCAACACCCGCCTTCCCCCTCCAACGGCTCACTCTCCCCTCTACCTTAAAGATGGCGTAGCCGACGGACGTTTCAAACAGCACCAGCATGGTTAGGCCGGGTCCGGGCGCTGCGCGACCCGCCGCGAGCTCTTATCCCGACGGAAAAAGACCCGATGTGCGGCCCCCCAAGCCCGCAAGGCCGCGGCGGGACAAGCACAAGCGCGCACGCTGCCCTGCAGAGCACCAGACCACGTTGCCTAAATGTTCCACACTGCGCTGCGTGCAGCACGCGTGAACGCGCTTCTCCTCCACCGAGGATTCTGGGAAGTAGCGCACTTCCGGCGGGTGACGTGACGCGAGAAGCGTAGCGGGACGTCACTTCCGCAATATTCCCGCCACGGCGGGGGGGGGGAGGCGGGAGAAAACCACGGAATTGTCGCGAGATTTTGTCAGGCAACGAGTTTTTATGCCTGCAGACTGCACAGAGTCAAAATAAAACTTTGCTTACTATTATTTTTAGGGCTCGTATATGATATATTCCATGTGTGTCTCGGTGTCTGCCGCAGGCATGTGTAATTTGGGAAGTGCAAGCCGCTAGGCCAGCGGTTCTCAACCTGTGGGTCGCGACCCCTTTGGCGGTCGAGCGACCCTTTCACAGGGGTCGCCTAAGACCATCCTGCATATCAGATATTTATATGACGATTCATAACAGTAGCAACATTACAATTATGAAGTAGCAACGAAAATAATTTTATGGTTGGGTCGCAACATGAGGAACTGTATTTAAAGGGCCAGAAGGTTGAGAACCACTGTAGGCTGTACTCCTGCCTTGAAGTCCTCAGAATGACAGCATGGTCGTCACAGTATCTGCGAGCTCTCCTGATAGTTCTTTCTGGCCAAAGTGATTGTTTTGCACAGATGTGTTTCAAATATATGTGGGCCTCTCCCCCGCCCCCCCCCTTTTTTTCTACTGCAATGACTCTAGGGTATGAATGTAGATGTTCTGTTCTTTTCTTAGTGTAATTGGTAACCGGAACGGTGAGCCGAGGTGTTTTCCGGGGGTCGTGTCTCGGGATGTTGAAGAATGAGCTACGCGGACCAGAAAATTTAAGCAAAAGTGGGGAGAATTTATTACAGATTCAGACTCCCCACCGGGGAGGGGGCCCAAAGAATGGGTTGCCTTCTTAGCATATATGTGCTACAAGCCTGCTCCATATCTATCTATTTCACCACCTGATTGAGTCCCTCGTTGTGCACAGCAACGAACCTGAACTTGCTGTTTCTATGTGTACCTACACCTTGTTTATTGCAGGCCTCCCTTGGTTTCCCATGCCTCCCGCTCTGCATCCAAAAATATTTTATTTTTTTCAGCATGGCTGGTTTCCGTCATTAGGCTTGCTTAAACTGCCGTGTCTGCCCCTGTCTACGTTCTACCTGCCTTTGCTTCCCGCTGGATCCCTGCCCTATCGGCCTGCGTTTCAAGCTAACTCCTCTCATAATTTGCTTTTCTGATAACTTGCAGTCTCCTTGACTGGTTTAAATACCCCAATTCTTACACAAGTCTGGCTTCCAATAGCAGTAAAATTTCTTTCCTCACTTCCCAGTCCCAATATCCAGATTGCCTGCAAATATTAAAGAACAACCTCCTGGAAGTTTCGGAACACTAGGTAACTTGATTTTCACAAGCAGCTCTGCAACCGGGCATCAAGAGAAATGAAAATTCTGAACTAAGTAACACAAAAAGATGAAAGTGGGGGGAAATCAAGGGGTAGGGGAATCTATGGTACAGACGAGAGCGTGATTGATTATACAGTAGGATCCAGTGTCGTCAGGGAAACAGAAGCCAAAATGGCTGGATTAGGAGAGGGGGGTGGGGTGGGGTGGGGTGTGGTGGGGTGGGCAGATGAATTGGAAACACTGCATCTCTTTATATTGTTATATAACTTTATACTTTTTGGAGCATAGTTTCCTTAACGGCAGTGCATCTGCTAGAGAATGGAATCTGTATCTTTCACTTACTTGGATCCTTATAAGGAATAATGTGCTAGTCATGAAGTCAGATCTCATTAAGTGATTTGTAAACATTTAATGAATGAATATCTGCAAGAAGTAAAGTTCTTTTCCTTGTGTCTAAAGCTTGAACCCTTTACACAAAGAGAAGTGAAAATATTCAATGAGAAACTTCTTTCCTGTGGCATTTCCTAAAAGTTGTCTTTGCACAGTGCCCATATAATTAAATTAAGACAATAATTCATATAGACAAGAGGAGGTGACATCAAGAAGGAAACTAAAGGCTGGCGGTCAGGGCACATGCCAGGCTTGTGGACTCTATTCCCAAGAGTGGGGCGTGCAGGAGGCAGCCAATAAATGATTCTCAATAAATGATTCTCTCTCATCATTGATGTTTCTACCTCTTTTTCCCTCTCTCTCTCTGAAATCAATAAAAATATATTTTAAAAAATAAACATTGCCTGCTTCCACTAAGGGTAAACATGCATATCACACCCTATAGAAAGGGAACACACAAACCACCACGTATCCTAAGAAACAAAAACAAGACACAACAAAATTAGGGTCTAGTTCTAGATCCCAAATTAAATGAAACCTTGAGCCTTTCTGTAAATTATTTACTCCCAAAGAAAAACAACTCTCCCACTGACTTTTGCAGTGCTGATATCTGAAGATCAGCTTTGCAGATAAGATAATCATCTGAGCCCTGGCTGGGTAGCTCAGTTGGTTGGAGTGTCATCCTGGGCAGCAAAAGTTGTGGGTTCAATCCTGGGTCTTGCTGCATATGGTGCGTATGGGGAGCAACCGATCGATGTTTCTGTGTCGCAATGGTGTTTCTCTCTCTCGCTCTGTCAAGTCAATTAAAAAATCCTCGGGTGGCCCTAACTGGTTTGGCTCAGTGGATAGAGTGTCGGCCTGGGGACTGAAGGGTCCCAGATTCGATTCCTGTCAAGGGCATGTACCTTGGTTGCGGGCACATCCCCAGTGGGGGGTGTGCAGGAGGCAGCTGATCGATGTTTCTCTCTCATCGATGTTTCTAACTCTCTATCCTGCTCCCTTCCTCTCTGTAAAAAATCAATAAAATATACTTTTAAAAAAATCCTCGGGTGAGAATTAAAAAAACACACACACATAATTATGTGAGAAAAATGCAACTTTTTATTAACTAATTGTTAACTTGGTAACGTTGTATTTTTCTTTTAATGAATGCTTTGTTTATTCTGTTTTGTTTTGTGATGAGCAAGCCTTTGAAAACTGGCCTCCTTAATAACTTTCTTTGCAAATACATTTTTTCCCCAAATGATTTACCTGTTGACACTGAGTAGACTGCGGTACCAGAGGAGTACTCTTCTCACCTAGACATAATCTTTCTGGCTCTTGCGTTGCCTCTTATGTGGCAATAGAGCTTTACTGACTAAATGTCTTTCTCTATTTCTGTTTCTGTTTCTAGTTAATGGCCAAGTCTGGATGTTGTTCTGATTTTGATTTGTACAACTGCTGCTGGCAATAACATGAAATCTGACATATTTGTTTGTTTATGACTATTTGGTGTATCCAGTCAGATAGGTACCAGGAATCTTGTCCCAGTTGGCTAGCAGAAGGCAGAGTATGTGACTTCTTTTGTTTGTTTTTTGATTATTTGTTCATTTGTCTGTTTGTCCTGCCACTCTTTGTTATTTGTCTTGTCAGTGGGGCATTATGAGTTACATAACTAAAAATGTTTTATGTGGCTGTGAACAGAAAATAGCTCTTTGAGATCTGGAACTACTGTAACCAACTGGTGAGTTCTGTGCTCCGTTTCCTTTCAACCCTTGGCTGAAGTTGGAAAGCTATGGCTATTGGTTTTCTGTTTGTATATAAATGAAAAAAATTTTTTTCCTCCCTGCAAATGAAAGGTAGCTAGCTTTTATAATGGTTCAATTTCTGTATCTGTGGCCACACACGCCCTCTCTGAAAACTATTGAAGATTAATTGGTCATAAAAATCTGTCATTTGTGCCCTAGACAGTTTGGCTCAGTGGATAGAGCGTCAGCCTGCGGACTGAAGGGTCCCAGGTTCGATTCTGGTCAAGGGCACACGCCTGGGTTGTGGGCTTGATCCCCGTAGGGGGTGTGCAGGAGGCAGCCGATGAATGATTCTCTCTCATCACTGACGTTTCTCTCTCTCCCTCTCCCTTCCTCTCTAATATCAATAAAAAAATTTTTAAAATAAATCTGTCATTTGTATGTAATCAGAAAAGGGTAGAAAATATATACAATGAGGGTGGAAAATGATTTGAAAAAATAAATAAATTGAAGTTCTTGTTAATTATGGAAAACTAGAGGCCTGGTGCACGAATTTGTGCACGGGTGGGGTCTGGCTGGCGACTCTGATGGGTGCCAATCAGGGGCGGGTCCAGCCGGGGGGAGGGGTCGTGGGTGGACAATTTGCATATTAGCCTTTTATTATATAGGATAATTTGGCCTTGCCCAAGTCTGGCCTTTGCCCTTGGCTTCTGGGAGGTAATCTACATCATATTTGATAGGAGTGTCTTTGTTTAGGGTGGGGATTGCTCATTCAGGAAAGACCAAACATGTGATCAACCAGGCCATAAGTTCAACCGTATGGGCAATCAATCAATCAATTGGTATGCCTAGATTATTAAGCCCCAACAAAAATCTCTGAAACTGCCCTTGCTGGTTTGGCTCAATGGATACAGCGTCAGCCTCTGTGGACTGAGGGGTCCCAGGTTAGATTCCAGTTAGGAGCACATGCCTGGGTTGTGGGCTCAATCCCCAGTGGGGGGGCGTGCAAGGGGCAGCCGATCTGTGATTCTCTCTCATCATTGGTGTTTTTTTTTTTCATTGGTGTTTCTATGTCTCTCTTCTCCCTTCCCCTTTCTGAAATCAATAAAAATATTTTTTAAAAATCTCTGAACCTAGTTGGCAATAATGTATGAATATTGTCATACTTCAGGGCTGGGACGGTAAGGACATCCTCACTGATGGGAGAGGACAATGGAAGTTTTGTGTTTGGAACTCTGCCAGGTTTTGCCCTGTGTGTTTCTTCCATTACTGATTTCGATCTGTATCCTTTCCCCGTATAAAATTATGGCCTTTCCAGCTTGGCTCAGTCGTTGAGTGTCAAACTATGAACGAGGAAGTTGTGGTTCGATTCCAAGTCAGGGCACATGCCTGGGTTGTGGGCTCGATCCCCACTGGGGGGCGTGCAGAAGGCAGCTGATTATTCTCTCTCATCACTGATGTTTCTGTCTCTCTCTCCCTCTCCCTTCCTCATGAAATCAATAAGAAAAAACATATTGAAAAAAAACTTTTAA